TTCCATGTCTCCTGAGTCTCAAATCTTGAGCCCCTGCTCCCCTAAACTTCGTTTTTCAGAGAACTGCATTACCCAGCATAGAGCATAGCATCTTTGCTGTGATTTCTCTAAAATATCTCTCACGCAAGCAGTTGCATATAATAGAATGACTGACAGTTTCCCAAAGATCCAGGGATAGATGGCAGTTGAGTGCCGGAGTAGAGGATGGGTTTCATCAGAGCACACAATGGCGGAGCAGATAACTTAAGGTTCAATATTAGACATTCTGTTCTTAAAAATTCTTTGTCTATTTCTGCCACAGGACATTTTTCACCAGCAAACTTTCTTCCTTGGTCTCTCTGCCTTCTGCTGCCCTGCAGTCTCTCTCTTCTGGGCTATAGCCCTCTTCCTCTTACACAGTTTATGCCCTCTTCCCCTTCCTCCCTCCCTACTCCCAAGTCTGCACATTTCAGGGCTAACCCTCCACAGGGATATATTTCTTGCCCTGAGGAATTATACTGTCAGTTTTTAAGCTACCGTTTTTTAATGACATGTCCGAGGGCCCGCGGTCAAGGCAGCATTCTCCCTTCCAGACAGGTGGAAAAAAACAGCTCTGTCCCGTCTTGGGAGACAGCGCCACCTACTGCCCACTGAGAGAGCTGCTAAAACACACCACGGAAGGACTTTCCCCATTGCCTGCCTGTTCTGGGCAGGATGCACGGATAATCCAGGTAGGAATAATTTTAGAAGGTGCATTGAATTTGAGGTGATGATGAGACATCCAAGGTCGCAGGGGAATTTAAACTCAGTAAGGAGATCAAGACCAGGGATAAGGATCCGAATGGCATTGGGGCTCAGGGAAGTTACCGGACCTGCATAAGGTTAACAACTGCGAAGTGGCAGAGTGGAGATCTGAATCTGGCCAGTCCGCCTTCAAAGTCCAAATAGCTCCATGTCGTTGCTGTAGGAGGGAGTGGATCTCCTTTAATGGATGGTCAGAGAGGTGAAAGTGAACCCAGGAGCCAGCGGAGAAGAGAATTTCAAGGAAGGGACTACTGATGATCTAATGTTTCGGAGTTGTCAGTTTGGATGTGGGCTTAGAAAATAGCACTGAGATTCGAGTTTAGGATTTAGTTGGAGATTTTTGAAAGAGTGGCTTCAGCTGCCCAGCACTGGGCTAGGCATTGGAGAGTATGCAAAGATGGGAAGACATAGTCTCATCCTTCACAGAGCTAAGCATAAGCCAAAGTCAGGGAAGTTGGCAAAAATTTAATGGTAATAAATTAGGTGGTGGTTCAGGAAAGGGAGAGATGCATATACATCTGTAAGCCCCTCTAACACTTTTGTGCAAATTAGAATGGGTCCCTCCCCTTCCTCAAAACCGGTGCTGCTCTGCGCTCGAGTCCATGGCTTGGCAAGCAGACTTCGGACTACATCTCAACCCCTCTGCCAGCTTCTCTTGTGCAGTGAACAACCTGTCCAACTGTTAGTGGAGGCCCTGGAAGAATGAAGACTGAGTAGTTAGGAAGGTTTCATGCAGGAGACTGGGACATAGGCTGGGCTTAAACTGATGTGAAGAGTTTAGAGCAGCTGTAAGGAAGAAGTAGGAGGGCTTCTCTGCTGGGAAATGTCAGAGTAGAGGCAGAAAAAAAGTGATGAAGGAGAGGGAAAAGATACAAATCACTTGATTCGTGGCTGAATATTTTAAAGTAGGTGGAATTAGGTAAGACCATTCATTCAAAAAATTATTGAGCACCTGCTATATGCAAGGAGCTATGCTGGATAGGCTGTGAGGCAGGGGGAATAATAATAACCCCTAACAATTGTGCACTGGTTTATAGTTTATAAAGCACATCCATTCCCAGCTATGACATCTGATCCATTTTCCTGGAAAGGAGGCTGAGGTTGTGGCTGTCCCAGAATATGGAGCTCCAAATCTCAGAATTAGGACCATAATCCAGATCTTTTGGCTAGTCCAGAATTCCTTTCCTTCTAGTGACTGATTCTTCCTCTTCTTTAAATTTAAGTAATTGATTAAATAGATGGTATACTTATTTGGTTCCAAATTTAAAAGTTACAATGGGAAAACAGGGGAAAGTCCCTCTCCCACCCCTGTTCTCCAGCCACCCAGGCATCTAATGTCAGTGTCATTTTAATTTGCATTTTCTTCATGTGAGTGAGATTGAGCATCTTTTCATCTGTTTTAGAGACATTTTGTATTTTTTTTTCTGTGAAGTGTCTGTTCATCCCCTCTGCCCAGTTTCCTACTTGGTAGCTGATAATTTCTTTTTTATTTGTAGGAACTCTCTGTGCATTAGGGAAATTTGCCCTTTGATTTTGATGGTAGTTGTAAATATGTTTTCTTTTTACATTTTTATTTGATCATTTGTCTCTTCACATTGCTTTTATAGTTTTTTTCCATGAAAATCTTTTTTTTTTTTTTGTGAGGAAGATCAGCCCTGAGGTAACATCCACGCCAATCCTCCTCTTTTTGCTGAGGAAGACCAGCCCTGAGCTAACATCTGTTGCCAATCCTCCTCCTTTCCCCCGCTCCTTTTTCTCCCCAAGGCCACAGTAGATAGTTGTATGTCATAGTTGCACATCCTGCTAGTTGCTGTATGTGGGACGCCACCTCAGCATGGCCCGACAAGCAGTGTGTCGGTGCCCGCCCAGGATCCAAACCCGGTCTGCCAGTAGCGGAGCGCGTGCACTTCACCACTAAACCATGGGGCCAGCCCCTCATGCAAATCTTTTAAAATGTGGTTGAACTTATCTGTCTTTCCTTTTATGACTTCTACCCTTAAATCATTCTTAAGCTAGTGTTAACTTAAATACAGTGGATCCCTGCCTTTATTATTGCTCAATAAACCAGAAGGAAAATCAAGAAAAGTATCTAAATAACTATAGAAGTTACCATAAGGTCAGTTCTCTAAGGTGGTACAAAGTGCTATTTCTTTACCTGTCTATCCAAAATCCAACTATCTATCTGTCCATTTGCCCATCCATTTATTAAGGCTTTACTGAACTCTTTCTAAGAGCTAGGAAGGGTGTGAAGAGATGACATTTTGTGATGATGAAACATGTGGGCTAGGATGACACATCCAGATCTGAATCCTTGCTCTCTGTTTATCCCTCTGTCGCCTTGGGCAGGTCGCTTAATCTCTCTACGTTTTTGTTTCTCGTATTATCTCATGAGATGTGACAGAAATGTAGAATGTGGAGCAGTCTAGGATCAGAGATGGAAGAACAGATGTGGTATAGCTTAGGGAGAGAGCTGTAGGACGGGTCCAGTGCCCGGATTTGTGATTTCAGGTGGGGAAATCTGAATTCTGACAAGGTCCGGAGAAGGATCACTAGGGTGGGTGGCAAAAGTAAAGGTCACTGGATTGAGCAAGTCAAGGAGCTGCAGGACCTCCATGTGGATGGTCATCTACCTAGTCCTTGAAATCACCTGGGATGGTGGCAGGACATGAGGTAGGGAAAAGCCTGTGGGTCTCGTGTGCAAGTCCTCAATGAATTAAGGGGGATGGCTCTGCGGAGGGCAGCCAGGAAGGAGTAGAGCGTGGACAAGCAGAGCTCCACAAGCAGATATTTTGTCTGGCTCCGGGGAAGTCATGCTCAGGAGGTGGTGATATGGGGTGAGGAAGATGCCCACCTGCCCGCAACCCTGAGATTTGAGGGAGCCGTCTGCCTCCTTTGAGAAGAAAGCCAAGGAACTGTGACTTTGGGGAAAGTGACTTTAGTAGCACCCCCACAGCAGAGGGTGGCAAAGTGGGAATGAGGAAGGAGACTATGGAGTGAGGTTTTAACAAGAATCTTGAACCCTTAAAGCCTCAACTGGCAGCCCTTATTAGTGGGACCCCCTGTGGTCTTCCCTAGTGTCAGGGCTGAGACCATCCTGACTGAGGGAAACTGGAAGACAGTGGGGTGAGCAGTTGATCTTCCAGTATCATGAGTAGATGCCATGGTTCTATGAAGCCTGGATCCTGAGGTACCATAAGCTGGGGTTCTGGGAGGTCCTCATTTCGTGAGTTGACTCTCAGTTCGTGTCACTTACATCGAAGGCGCCAAGGCCTTCCTCCTCTCCTTGTGCAAACAAGCCACACCTTGCACCAATCAAAGTCCATCTCACCTTCCAACTACTCCAGGTCGGTTACTCAGCCATGACACGTTTCATTTTCCTGATAATTCAGTGTTTCCAGGAAATGACGGGCCTCTTCACCTCTCCCCTAGTCTTACTGACACATGAGCTTATATAATCGGTATGATTTAAAAAGAATCATTCACTGCTGGCCATCTCTCCAGAACTGGAGCCTGATAAAATGACCTGAAGTTGTAGCAGGAGAAATTGAGGTAGGATACTAAAAGAGCTTCTTGGGAGGAGGACTAGGCAAGGGGTTTGGGGATGAGGGAATGAGAGTGAATGCAGTGTTTAAGGGAACTGATGCTGGGGAGTACTTCTTTCATTGGGTCCTCTTTGGAGATGGTTTGAAAGGAATGGTAAATGTGCCTTTAAACATGACACAGGTCTCTGGTCTGCTCTATGTCCTGTTCTCTTTCTGCTACTCTTTCATTGTAGAATCCGTATGGAAAGGATGCTGGTTGAGAGAGTGACCAGCTGACAGAGATGCTGATGCAAATAGTTAGTGGTAGTAATTGATAGCAGTAGCCAAATTCTTAGAGTGTGACCACGAGCCTTCTAATGTTCCAGTGTGGAGAGGACACTCCAAACTCCTGCCAAATTCTCCCAACTGAGGGTAAATTAGAGACTTTCAACTTTTAAGTTTACCATGCTCTGGCTTTTGATCATGATGCTCTGGGCTTTTAACTTTGAACTGTAAAAATATTCACAGAAAGCTCTGACGAGGAAAATAGAATTGGTTTTTAAATCACCTGCTTCCTCCAGGTGTCTGAAAAATAGTGATTTCAAGTTTAGTAAATACAAGGAAACCAGAGGGTGCATGTCAAAGCTGATGAGATATTTCTGCAACTCGTGTAGAATCGTGGTTTGCATGGTCTGGCTACGGCTCATTGATGGAGAGCGGGCAGTTGCCTGAAGTTGGAGGGCCAAGTCATGCCCTCTAGGCTGTGCTAGGGCTGCTGCCTTCCAGCTGGGCCATCTTATCTGGAGTGTCTATGTGGCAGGCCTTCCAAAGCCCCAGTGGAGAAGGAGGCCCTATAGACGGGAGGCTGACAGTGTGGGGTGGAGACCATGCTCCCTTTGCGGGAGGACAGCCAGGAAGAGGGCGTCTGCCCCATCTGCCAGGAACACCTGAAGGAGGCAGTGAGCACCGACTGCAAGCACCTCTTTTGTCGAGTGTGCCTGGCCCAGCACGTGGCGAAGGCCTCGGCCTCCGGAATCCTCTGCTGTCCCCTCTGCCGGAAGCCCTGTTCCGAGGAGGTGCTGGGGGCAGGCTATATCTGCGACAGCCACCAGAAGAAGGTGTGCTGGTTCTGTGAGGAGAGCAGACTTCTTCTGTGTATGGAATGCCTGGTGTCCCCTGAACACAAGTCTCATTGTGAGCTGGCCATTGAAAATGCCATCAGCCACTACAAGGTAAGGCGGGGTCCCCACCTCCCTGAGTTACTCCTTCCAACCTTCTGTCCATTATGCCTGGCATATCACAGAGCCTCAGTAGCCGCCGTTTTTCTTGTTTCTTCTGCTTCATCCTATTTCGGACCCTCGTCTTTCTTTTCCATGTATATTTTGCTACCAATATTAAAGTGTCAAAGCGTTAATATGAGTCTAAGAAGGGATATTGTCGCTGTGATGTCAGATTCCCAGGAAGCATGAGCTACTTTCAATTTGCTCATCTGTAAAATGAAGGAGTTGGACCAGATAATGCAAAACTCTTTCAGTACTAAAACTATATGGTTTCCGAGGTTGATGGTACTAGAAAAGGGGTAGAATGTAATCAGATTTGACATATGCTAATAATATCCTGCAAATACCTATATCGAAACCTGGAAATTAGTACATGAGTCTCTCTCTCTCTTTCTCTTCTTTCTTTCTTTGTCTTTTCTTTCTCTTTTCTTTCCTTCCTTCCTTTCTATAGTGATTATTTTTACCCTATTTTATTTAATTTTTTTATCATAAAAATTATATGCTCTTGGAAATACTTTCAGACAACACTGTAAGGTGTAAAGTCAGAAGTAAAAGTCTTTCTTCCTGCTTTCTTCCATTCTCAGTCCCCAGAGGTAACCATTGTTAGATTTTTGTGTATCATCCTTCCAGAAAATTTTGTGTGTGTGTGAATGCACTCTTTAAAACACACACATACACAAAAGGATTCATTATTTTTTTCTGTAACTCATTTTTATCATCTAAAAATACGTCTGGACATTTTCCCATTTTCCCATCAGTATGTAGAGATCTTATGAATTCTTTTCAACAACTGCATGGTATTCAATTCTATGAATGTACCATAAATTGGCAGACATACAGACATCGGGTTATTTCCTGGTTATTGTTTTGTTTTGAGATCACATGAAATGTTGCAGGGAATACCCTTCAACATATATTTTGCAGGACTTAGAACACCCAAGGTATATTTTGGTGAAAGAGTAAGATAACTTCCAAGTCACAAACAATTTTTCCTATCACTGTTTATTGAATAATCCATAGTTCCCCCATGGATTTGAATGCCAACTTCATAATATGCCATGAATGCATATACATACACACGCATATTTTCTCGACTGTCTGCTGTGCTCTATTCTTCTGTCTATTCCTGCCTCTGTGTCAAACCATTTTAAACACTGTACCTTTGCAATGTATTTTAATGTCCAGTAGGTCTTAGAACCCTCACAATACTCTTATCTTTCAGAATTTTTGTGGATACTTATATATGCTTATTTTACCAATTAGCTTTAGCATTATTTTTACCAACCTACCCCCACCCCTGGCACCCCCAATCCAGTCAGTGTTTGAAAATTGACATATTTTCACCATGGTGTCTTTCTATCCAACAATGAAGGATGAGTTTCCAAAGTCTTCTATTCAATACTTGACTTTTGTTTTTTAATTAATTAATTAATTTATTTATTTGTGAGGAAGATCAGCCCTGAGCTAACATCCATGCCAATCCTCCTCTTTTTGCTGAAGAAGATTGGCCCTGGGCTAACATCCATGCCCCTCTTCCTCTACTTTATATGGGGCCTGACAAGCAGTGCATCGGTGCCCACCCAGGATCCAAACCTGGGCTGCCAGCAGCGGAGCGCGTGCACTTAACAGCTATGCCATGGGGCTGACCCCAATACTTGAATTTTGAAAACATGTTATAATACAGGATGAGAAAGTGGGGAGTCCAGATTGGGGGTGACTATAGGAAGGTAGAGAAATAGTTCAGAAAGCCAAAGAGGCAGAGTTCTCTGGTTCTAACATCATTCCTTCTAGGTGCAGTGTACCACGGGGGGTTGGCGGGGCTCCCACCTGCTGATCAGCCAGGCACAAGATGGAGAAAATCTACTACTTACTCACTCAATGGTTTATTCAGGTCTGTGCTTTGTGTAGGATGTCATGCTAGGGATTGTAGGAAGTAAAAAGATGATTCATAATCTTTGTCCTCAAGTCTACTTTTACATTATGACAGGACACCTAAAATAAATCAATAACAATGTTTGTTTATTTAAGAAAAACTTAAATAAGTTCCTGCAGTGTGTTAGGAACTACAATACATGCTAGGAATACAATGATGAACAACAGAGATGCCATCTCTACTTCCAGGAAGTTTACAGTTTAGTAAGGGAGATAGACAAGAAATCAAACAAACTCTATGTTTTTTATGAGCTAGAAAGAAAACAAACAAGGATCTGAGATAGAGAGTAATGGATGACTCATGTTAGTGTGGTCAGTGAGGGCCTCATGGAGGGGGTGACGCTGAAACTGAGACCTAGAGAAAGAAAAGCTGGCCAATGGGAAGTGGGGGAGCAATGCAGAGGCCCAAGTCTGGAAAAGTCTTGTTATATTTGAAGAATTTATAATTAGAGTTTGAATTGACAGCATATACTGATAGATGAGAAGTGGAGTGACAGAATGAAGGGAATCAAAGATGACTTCATGAGTTTCTAGCTTGAGAAACTAGATGGATGATGGAAAGATAAGGGCTGGGGAGAAGAGGTTTGAACAAAACATCGGGTTTCATTTAGGACAAGTTGAATCCAAGCTGAGACACATCAAAGTAGGATCTTGGATATGCAGTTGGACATGAACTCTGGATCTCCAAAGGGAGTCTGGGGAAGTATTCCCAGAACCTAGAATGAGGATCCATCAGAATAAAGATGATGTTTAAATCCAAGGAAATTGATGCAGTAGCCTCAGGAGAGAGTCTAGAAAGAAAAGAAGTTCCAGGGCCAGGTCCTGAGAGAGGCCATGATTTAGATGTGAGGTAGAGGAGCGCCCAGCAAACGAGACTCAGAATGAGCCACTAGCAAGGCAGGAGAAAAACAAGGGGGGTGGTGTTCCAGATGCTAAAAGAGAGGAACATCAGCAGTGTGGGTGGAAATGGGGATGTGAAAGATTTGAAAAGAGAGGAGAAGCTGTGGTATAGTTTGGGAAAGTGAACCTATGAGAGAAACTGAGTGGGAACACCAATTTGAGTTTTGAAACTAGGAATTCAATGTGATTCATGAGGCTGCTTGAGGATAGCCAAGGAAAAGATGGTGGTCGAGTTTATCCGGGGATAAGGAGTTGCCTGAAAAGTAATAGAAGGGGAGGCAAAGGAGTTGAGAGTGTTTCCGAAGGAGTGATTATAATGGTGGACCCCGTGTGTGTTTGTAGATGTTGACAGCACAGTTTTGAAATAAAGATTTCTTATGATTTCTCACCATATTTCTATTTCTTTGAATTAAATTTTGTATGTTAAATATTATAAACTGTGTCTTTTTTAAAGGAATTATGTAATCCCAGACTGTACCCCAGAAAGACTGAATAATTGGCAGTGCTACAAGGTCTTTTTTGCACACTTGCTTCCACTGCCCAACCCATGTCGGTGTCAATCACTTTAATGTATTTTGCTGGTTTTCTAAGTGTAACAATGCTGAAGTTTTTTACTTTGCTTGATTAAGAATGCTGGTGGTGAGGTTTTCTTCTGTATGAAGACTCACTATCTACATTTTCCCCTAGAATCAGAGCGTATGTTTTATATCATTGCATCAAAGTAGTTTATCTTTTGGCTATTAAGCTATATTAGTTATATTTAATATCTATTTTTCTTATTCTCTTATTTCTTTTCTTATTTATTGCATTTTGGGGCAAAAGTTTTAGAAATTTGTATTTAAATCAGTTCTATTCTTTTAAAAAATATAATCACTGTGTCTTAGAAATTCATCTAAATGATTATGCTATTCTGTTTGCTTTTTAAAGATTAATTAATTCCTGGCTTATTTGGAATTGAATATAGTGTGTTGTTTTGAAGGAGGACTTCATGTTAATTTTTCTTTATTCTAGTGTCCAGTTGTCCCCAAAACATGTCTGTAACAGTGAGTCCTTTCCACATCTATGTGTTGTTTCTGGTTTGACATAAATTAAATTTTCATAATAACATTTTTTTTTCATTCTACTCTGTTGATTATTTTTTTTGTTCTAAAGTTATTATATAGTCTTAATACTTGTTTTTTTATGGTTTTTAAAAAAATCTAGCAGCATCTTTGCCATATAATAGTTTTTTGTAAACTGATGTTCTTCTGACTATCTTTTCAGAGGAATTTTCTTGTGCAATATTTCTAAGTTTTGTAGAGCATTCCCTCAGATTTTAATTGGCATTGCATTAAATTTGTTGATTACATTAATAATTATAACTTTTGGGGGCTTCCTTAATTTTAGCAGCCAATAGGAGAATATATCACTCCGTGTTTTCATTTATGTTTCTGAATCAGATGTTAAATTGTCTTTACTTAAACCTCATATTGAAGGTAGCTGTGTGTCTTATAAGGTTCGTTTTTTGGCAATTGGTACTTGTTGATCAAATGAGAGTCTTTGCTGAGCTCGTATATCCTTTAAGTTAATTTCCTGATGTTTTCTACATGCACAATCATACGGACATTGTCAAGTTTAGTCATCAACACCACTTTTCCTCATAAAATATAATGGGTGACATAATTCTCATCCATATTTTGGGATACTTTTGGTTCGTAAGGAGCATGCTTTTTTGAAAGTTGGTAATTTTTTTTGGCAACTGTATCAGGAAAAGATACCTGTTTGTCTGTTAACCACTTTTTCTTTCATGCGTTTTGTTGGTAAGCCATCTGAGAAAGAATTTCAATGTTCCTAGGTTCATGTTTCATCACTACTTAATGATGTTTTTGGTTAATTTTTTTAATGTAAAATCACATTTTATCTGATATCTGATAGAATCACAAACTTTAAAAAATATCCATTAAGACAAAACAGGTCTTGTACTATTTCTTATATTTCAGTTTGGTTTTTTTTCCCCTGAAGAATATTTAATTTATTTTTTTTAATTTATTTTTTTTCCCCCAAAGCCCCAGTAGATAGTTGTATGTCATAGCTGCACATCCTTCTAGTTGCTGTACGTGGGACGCGGCCTCAGCATGGCCGGATAAGCGGTGAGTCGGTGCGCGCCTGGGATCCGAACCCGGGCCGCCAGCAGTGGAGCGTGTGCACTTAACCGCTAAGCCACGGGGCCGGCCCTGAAGAATATTTTAGGAAGACAAAAGTTTGTAGAATTTTGCTTTTTCATTCTAATGTGTGCTTTTATTCACGTGATATGCACCCACTGAATATTAGTTTAATGCAATGGATGAACAAATTTTTTTAAGAACAGAGACTTTACCTTACTCATGTTGAATATTGTAAATGACAGATCTGTATTATCTTTGATTATTTCATGCATTTATCTTTATTGCTGTTATCTTTGCTTTCTTTTTTCCTTGGCACAGTGTTTTCAGTTGACTTTAAACTCTTTATTGAATTTTAAACTACACCAGAAGATAGGACTGTGGCTTTTTGAACTGGATCTTAAGAATAAGCCTGATTTTGTCAGGGAGAAATAGATAGCATTCCTACTAGAAGGAAGTAAAAGGGAAGCCATGAGGAGGTGTGGCTGCATGGGGTGTGTTCAGGGAACCCCGAGCAGTTCTGTTTGGCTGCTGCAGAGAGCACGGAGGGAGTAGGGAGAGGTAACACCAGAGATGTAAATTGGGGTTAGGTCTCGGAGAGCCTTGGATACTGGGTTAAGGAGTTTGGGTTTATCTTTGGTAATGAGAACCCATTTTGAGGAGAGGAGTAACACAGATAGAAGATGAAATAGGACTGAGAGTTCAATCTGGGTGACAGACAGAGTGGTGGGTCCAAAGACAGAAACATGGAGGCCAAGAGTAGTGGATTGCAGAAGGTGGGGAAGGGGATGATAAGTGTGATTTCTCCGGATTGATTTTGAGCTGCGAATAGGGCAGTAGGAGATACTTAGCTCTCAGCTGGAAACGTGGGATTGACTGTTAGGAAAAAGATCTAGTTTGGGAATTATGATAAGATCTGGAGCCTCCAGATGGAAAGTTAAAGATATCGTTTGGAGATAGAAAAGGGTTAGAGAAACAACCTCAAGGAGGTCAAGGAAGGACAGGGGTGGGGAGTGGGATGAGTGAGGTGGGACATGAGGAGAGAATTACATCAAAGAATAGGAGGCCTGAGAAGAAGGCACCTCTGATTTCATTCCTGGAGATCAATGGTGACCTTGGAGAGAGAAGTTTTAAAAGAGTGATGAGAAACAAAGCAGATGGCTGACGAGCAAAGAGGCCATGAGGACGTGAAGACAGTGGGAACTGACTACTCAAAGTTCAATTATAAGGACAGAGACAGAGAGTAGATTGATGAGGTAGCAAGGTGAAGGGTGTTTGTTTGCATTTTTGAGCTGTGTGAGACCTGAACTTTTGTAGTCATGCAAACAGTTCCCCAGCCCAGCCTTCTCCTTCACCATTGAGACCCACCAGTGAAATCCACGATGCCCATTTGCTACCTCCCACTCCTCCAATGAGTGTTTTTTCCCTCTCTGAAGGGAAGTGCCTACAGGTGACACCCAGTGACATGACAAATTTTTAATAACTTCCTAGTGACATCATTGTCTCCTCTGCTTACTGAAGCTTTTTGCTTGCATGAATGTCCTTCCTGATCTCTCACCTCCAGTCCCTTGACTTTGATTTCATCCACAAAATCTCAGGGCCAGAACTTTCAAAGTCATCTCCTCCAACCTCAACCTCTACATGTACATCTCCAGTGATATGGGACTCTTCCCGAAGCAACACATTTTAAGAGTTTACAAGGGGCCGCCTGGTGGCGCAGTGGTTAAGCGCGTGTGCTCCGCTCTGGCCGCCCCGGGTTCGCCGGTTCAGAACCCAGGAGCGCACCGATGGACCGCCTGTCAAGCCATGCTGTGGCGGTGTCCCATATAAAGTAGAAGAAGATGGGCACGGATGTTAGCTCAGGACCAATCTTCCTCAGGAGAAAAGAGGAGGATTGGCATCAGATGTTAGCTCAGGGCTGATCCTCCTCATTAAAAAAAAAAAAGAGTTTACGAGAGGAAACCAGACAAAAATGACAAAAATAAAAAATATCCTCCATAAACAGTCAACAACAACAACAAAATCTCCTAAAATTTTTTTTTTTTACCTGAGATGGGAAGGATTCAGTTAATGAAACACACACTCTTCAGCCAATAGCACATCCTTATCTTTAGTCCACAAGTCACTTTCTTGTTTTACTTGCTTGTTCCATTTAATCACCATTCCTCCCCCTCCCATGAGCAACCATTTAAAGTGTTTATGGCATTTTTATTTGTAGACAGTTTGATAAAAACACATATTTCTGTATTGTATGCTTGTACATTGAATTAACAAAGTTATATTATAGACCTGATTCTATTTCTTGCTTTTCCACTTTACCATGTTTTTATTTATTTTTTTTTTTATAATTTTATTTTTTATTTATTTCCCCCCCCAAAGCCCCAGTAGATAGTTGTATGTCATAGCTGCATATCCTTCTAGTTGCTGTATGTGGGACGTGGCCTCAGCATGGCTGGAGAAGCAGTGCATTGGTGCGGGCCCGGGATCCGAACCCGGGCCGCCAGCAGCGGAGCACGCGCACTAAAGCACTAAGCCACGGGGCCGGCCCACTTTACCATGTTTTTAAGATCAGTGTATGCTCTGTGTGTCATGTAGTCCTTTGCTTCTGACAACTGTATAGTATTCCATAGTGGGCACCTGCCACACTTTGCTCATCCATTTCCCCTGGAATGGACTTTACGTGACTCCAACTCTCTCTTACAGCAAACAATGCTGTAGTGTTCGTGTCCTCTTAGGACTTAAGTGAGGAATTCTCTGGGATATTTACCCAGAAACAGGACCACTGGATCATAGAGGCAAGTATGCTTAGGTGACTGGGACCCTCACCAGAGTGGCTGTGCCAGTGCACATCTCACCAGCCTGCAATATGGTGCTTATATCCACATCCATCCCCTACCCTCAGCGTTTTCCAGTTGTCTAATTTTTATTAATCTGATGGGTGTCAAATACTATTTCATTGTTGTATTAATTTCCATTTCTCTAATCACTGGTGAGTTTTGGCATCAACTCACATGCACTTTAGCACTTTTCCTATTCCCTCTTCTGTGAATTAACTGTTCATATTTTTTGCAAATTTTCTCTTGGGTTCTTGTCTTCTTATTGATTTGTAGGCTTTCCTTTTTATATTCTATATTGAAGTCTCTTGTTGGTTTTAGACATGGCAAATATCATCTCCTAATCTATCATTTCTCTGTTAATTTTGTCCATGAGACAAAATTCCATGTTGTCCATGTTGTCATTGAGCATAAATATATAATTTTGAGGTAATCAAATTAAATAATTCCCTCATGGTTTGTGCTTTTGGGGGTTTAAGACATGTTTCCCTACCCATAGGTCACAAATTTATTCTCTAACAAGATTTTCTATTAACTTTATAGTTTTACCTCTCACACTTAGATCTTTAATCCATCTAGAGTCTACTTTCACATATGGTTTGAGGTAGGGATCCAGCTTTATTTTTCTCTATTATTGTAGGCCAGTTTTCATAACACAGTATCTACAGATTCTGTCCTTTCTCTCACTGATTTAAGTACCACTTTTTCTTTTTAAATTCCTTTATAAGCATGGGTCTGTCCCTGAGATCACTCTTCTCTCATTTTCAATTTGTTCTTGCACCAGTACCACACTATTTTATTACTACAGCTTTGTATGCCCTTTTATCTGGCAGGGCAAATACATTTTGTAACTAATCTAATAAGGGATTACAAGAAGACTGTTTCCAGAGTTTTGTGTTGACACCTGCCTCCTGGCCCTCACCTTTCTTCCACTTTGATTCATTAAAGGCCTATATTGGTATCAATACTAGCTTTCTTTTTGCTCCCCTCACAGTTTATCAAAAACCCAAAAGCAAATTTTTTAGAAACTGAAATCATTCATAACATGTTTAGCTTCAGGACATGTCCAGACACTGATTTATGATTTAGAGAGAGGTTACATGCCTCCCTGGGCTGTGGGTTTGTGTCTAATGGAGGGCTCTTGTCCACCCCAGCCAGGGCAAGGGAGTAGTGCCAGAGGCTTTGCATCTCCCCCAAGTAAGTCTGTCTAAACTGGTTTCACTTGTTGATGTGAAGTAGTAAGAATTGCCAGTGATCAGCATACAACTTTCAGATGTTAGGAGAAAAACACCCTGAAGTCAAGTAGAAGAGGTTCTGTTACTATGTTATTTTTGTGTAGTTAAGGTTTTAAAAAAAATTACCCATTGCTTTTTCCCCATCATTGTCCGTTAAATAAACTCTCATGTTCCTTATCCCAAGCAGGATGCTTCAAAGACTGACTATTTTTAGGCAGAATTTTACTTTAGCCTCATCCTGAGATCAGGACCCACACCCTGTTTGGTTGAGCGCCACCCACACCCCTAGTCTGACAAACAAGTGTGTCCGTCTCTCTAGGAACGACTCAACCGCAGGAGCAGGAAGCTCAGAAAGGACATCGGGGAACTTCAGCGGCTCAGGGCTCAGGAGTCAGAGAAACTGCACGCTGTGCAGGTGAGATGTGCAGTGTCCTGGGAAGGACCACCGCGGAGTGTCCTCAGGGTCCTTGTTCCCTGTTCTGGCCATCTATCTGTCTGGAGCAGCCTGATGTAGGGGGAGGTCCTGGAGGCTGGGAACCTGGGTGCTGGGCTCGGCCTTGGGGTTTGCTAGCGGAGAGACCTGGGGCAAGTCAAGCCCTCTGATCTTCATGGGGTTTATATGTTATACGAAAGCCAATCCTGCTCCCCTTGGCTCACAGCCAGGATCAAAGGAGACAAGCAGTTCATCAATTGAAAATGACCACGCAAACTGTAGGTCTCCATCTCTGTCTCTGATGGTCTACCTTTCTGTCCCTCCTGCCCACTTAGCTGTGGGGTCTCTCCTCGCCTTATGACTTGAAGGGGCTTAAAAGCAGGCAGTGGGAGGATATAGCTGAGCTGTGTGTGTGTGTGTGTGTGTGTGTGTGTGTGTGTGTGTCTGCCCACCATGTGTGATATGGCATCTGTGGATGTTCACAAGAGCTTGAGGTGGGAGGGAAGTTGTCCCTGCATTTATGAGGAACACAGCTGCCTCTGCAATTCCTGTGCCATGCAGAGGCAATGCCACAAGAGGAAGAGGACTGAGGAATCAACATTCTCACTCAGAGTATTCAGAGACTGTGAAGGGCCAGGAGGGAGCAATTTGACATTGAATCTTAGAGAGTCTCTTTTCTGTAGTTTCAGGTAGACTGTGGGACTGACAGGCTGGAGGCTGAGCTGGGGAGCCAGCACCAAACTAAGAGACAGCTGGATACCCTCCCTCAGCAGTGGCCAGACCACCTGGAGGACATGCCAGCAGAGGTGTCCAGAATCTTTGACATCTCCACGGCAATAACCCAGCTCAGCAACCTGGTCACTGATCTGGAGAGGACAGCTAAGGAACTGAACGCCAACACACTGAAGGCGCGTACCCTGAGACACTGCCCAAAGACTGGGATTTTCCCTAATTAGTGGACAGCCTACCTGTAGCACCCTTCTGGAAGGTATAAGGAGAGTTTTCTCTGTAACGTGTGGTGGTGGCTTGTCCAAGGCCTCACAGTGCTGCTGCAGCAAAGTAGGGTGTAGAAAAGGGGTGCTATCTCCTCCAGTTCTCGAGGTGACACCCCAGAGTGGCATCCGATAGTGGGTTGGGGAGAGAATTTGGAGGTGACGGGAACCTGGGAACTGATTGTGATTCTCACTCCCTTTCTCTCTCTCCTAGAATGCCAGTGACTTATTGGACAGGTATGAGCCATCCCATCTTTCTTCCCACATGTGCTTACACATGCAAACCCACACAAGCGTAGACATGCTCATGGGCTTTATCAAGGTCAAGGAGATCCATTGCTCTGTTAACTTTTGTATCTTCATGCTACATTGCCAGTAGAAGATTCAACAGAATATACTGAAGGATTTCTCTGTTTCTAGGAGTGCTCCACAGAAATTAGAGGCTATTTATCCTGAGTTAGAGAAAAGAATCAGCGAATCACTTCTTCAGTCATCCTCAGCAGTGCCGACCTGTTCATCCCTGGACGACGTCGTCTCAGACTCATCTCAGCCTCCTCACTCTCCTTCCTCCAACCTGTCTGGCCTCCCATTAGGTCTACCTAGTGCACCTTCACACCTTATGACCTCCTTTCCTCATCCCCACAGACATGACCTGGCGCCTGACCCTCTGACACTTGGACGATAGTCACAGCCTCTTTCCTGAACCAGGCTTGTGCTTGTGGCTCCCACTGCAGAGGTCAGGATCCAAGATGTCCATTTTACCTGGGAACCGATGATAATGCTCATCTCTCCCAATCTCATATTAAAATAGGAGTACCCAGGCACCTGGATGGCATGAGCTCACTAGTGGTGATACCCCTTCTGCACATGGAGCCAGCAAGTCTGTTGGACAGAATATTTCTTCTGAGCTCCCGTAGCACTTGTTGTCTGTACCACTCATCTGGCGCTTCCTTATTATTTTTGTGTTGGACAGACTCTAGGTGGCCCCCCTTGATCGTCCTCTCTTGATGTTCATGCTCTTGTGTGATCCCCTTACCTGGAGTGTGAGCAGGATCTGTGACTTGCTTCTCATCATGGAATATGGAAAAGGGGATAGGATGTCACTTTGGTGACTGTGTTACATTGTCTTGGACTCCTCCTTGCTAACAGACTCACTCTTGAGACTCTCCTTGCTGGATAGATGAAGTGCCCCCATGGCCAGCAGGCAGCCTTTACGAGCTGAGAGTAGCCTCCAGTCTTTAGCCGATAAGAAGTAGAGGCCCTCGGTCTTGCAGTTGAAAGAAAATGAATTCTGCTAACAGCCTAAGTGAACTTAGAAGTGGAATTTTCTCCAGTTGAGACTCCAGATGAGAACCCAGCCTAGCTGACATCTTTTTTTTTTTTTTTTTTGTGAGGAGATCAGCCCTGTACTAACATCTGCCAATCCTCCTCTTTTTTTTTTTTGGTGAGGAAGACTGGCCGTGGGCTAACATCCGTGCCTATCTCTTCCTCCACTTTATACGGGACCCTGCCACAGCATGGCTTGCGAAGCAGTGCGTCAGTGCACGCCGGAGATCCGAACCGGTGAACCCTGGGCCGCCACAGCGGAGCGTACACACTTAACCGCTTGTGCCACCGGGCCGGCCCCTAGCTGACATCTTGATTGCAGTCTTTTGAGACTTTAAAGCAGAGGACACAATTTCTGACCCACAGAAACTGTGAGGTAATAAATAGCAAGGTAACTGTGATATAACAAATGTGTGTTATTTTAAGACTAAATTGGTGGTAATTTTTATGGAGCAATGGATAACATACATTTGTATTTTAATTACTTGTACATCACTTCTTTGAATGAGTAAGGACAGTACTCTGTCTTTGTGTCTTCATTGTCTAGGACAGTGCCTGACTCATAGTTGGTGTCCATTGAAATATATTAAGTGGATGCATGAATGAATTAATAGAAAGTATAAGGGCCTTTCTGCAAGCGTCATGTTTAACAAAGGGAGACTTTAACTAGTATTTATTGAGCCCTTCTTGAAATAGTCAATACTATACTAGGCACTGAGGGGTATAAAGAATAAAATATGGCCACAAGAGGTGCTGCATTGTGGTGCAAAGAGTAGAAACTCAGACTTGAGTTCAAGTCCCAGTCCTGACACCTAATACCTCTGTAACCTTGGGCAACTTACTTAACCTCTCTGAACCTCAGTATTCTCTCCTTTAAAATGAGGATAATGGTACCTGTGGCCTGGGATTATTGTAAGAATTGAATGTTATTATGTATGCTAGGTGCCTGCTGCAGTGCCTAACATGTTGTAAATGTTCAAATGTGGTAATTCTATCTTCTTATTCTACTTCTCCACCCAGAAGCTTATATTCTAGCTGAGGAACCAGGAAAAATGCATATGGAATAACAAGAGAGTATGAGATGGGTTAAATTAACTGGTACAGTTGCTAAGTGCTGTGGGGATTCAGAGGAGAGAGTGAGGCTCAGAAAGTCAGGGTTGGCTTCATGGAGTAGGTGGGGATTGGACAGCAGGAGAGAAAAGTGAGACCATTCAGGTCAGGATAGCTCCACGAATGAAAGTGTGGAGGTAGGAAAAAGCCACAGCACATTTGTAGGAGTATGAGGAAACTGACCTGGTTAGTCTGGAATATTCAGGGATGCGGAAGGCCAGAAATCAAGCAGAGGGTTAGTTTAGTGACACCAAGACATAGGCAGCCATTAAGGATTTTTGAGTCCGGAGTGAAGGAAACAAGTGGTGTTTAAGGAAAACCAGTCTGGACTCTTGGTGCCAGATGGATTGGGGGCAGGAAGTTGGGGGTTTAAGGGGAGGCGGAAGGAGAAAGAGCCTAGTGTAGATGTTCAAAAAAAGAAGCAGATAGTTACTAGGCAGGAAGCTCTAGGTCTCAGAGAAACATGAGACCCCAAATCTAAGAACAAGACATTAGCCAAGGAAAGAACACCCCTGGAGGTGACAGCTAACAATTCCTGTATCCTAGTTGGAGTTAATGTCACACAGAGAATTTGCCCAGAACTATCATACCCAGGAGTGGGAGGAGACTGATGAGTTCCAAGGGTCTCTCTCCACTGGAGAGTCAGTTAACCTGCAGGTGCCTGCCAGTCCCTCTGTCCTCTTCTGACGTGACTACAGATGATTGGACTGGGGTGCGCATCTGACCAGTGGATGGTCGGCCAATCAAGCCTATGGGGTTGCCTGGTGAGAAAGATCTTATCAAAGAGGGACAATGATAATTAACTGAACATCAGGTTCTTTTGGAAATTCAAAATGGGTCTATGATAAACACATCATCAGTTGGTGGAAAGAGCAGTAGTAGAGGGAATCAAAGCCAAATGTGTGGCTGTGCACTGGAGCAAGTGTCCATGACCCGTGTTGCTCAGTGGCTACAGGATAAGCTAGTCTCTAAGCTTCCTTGGGCTTCAAGTGGCCTTCCTACCAGTTCTTGAACATACAGAGGCAGTATTACATAATGGTCATAAGCACAGACTTGGGAGCAAAACCATCTGAATTCAAATGTGCTATTACTATCTAATGTGTAATGTACATTATTGCTGTGCTGTTTACTCTCTGCTGATTTGGGACCAGTTACTCAACCTTCACATGTCTCAGTTCTCTCATGTATAAAATGGGGCTATTTATAATAGTACCTACCTCATAGGGTTGCTGTGAGGATTAAATGAGTTTATATATAAAATGTTTTTTTATAATGACTGGCCAAAATGAGCTCTATATGTGTTGGTTATTATTATTAACATTTTAAAAATCTCCAGTTCTTCCTTTGGGACTTGATTGTGTCATCCCACCCCTCCCACCACCCCCACCATAGCTTCCCATGAGGCCTGGCTAATGGTGGAAAACCCCCTTTTCCCTATTTATGTGTCTGTTCTTATAATAAACTTTCCTATTATTTGAATTAACTTGCATGGGTTTCCATTCTTTGTAATAGAAAAAGCTGTGAAAAATCAGGTGTAAACTTGTAGATGTCACAAGTGTGCACTGCTCCTTTGGAGTCTTGGAGAGGACAATTGGGAGCCCAGGGCCTCCAGAGTTTAGCACTTCCCTGGAGGAGGGAACCCTGTGACAAGCAGAGCCTGGAGGTTCATCGAGCTGCTTTATCCTGAAGTCGTGGTGTTTTAGGATCTATCTGTGTCCTCTGCCAGCCCTCTAAAACAAGTAAACTTCGAGTAAAATTACCCTAGGCGGGAAGCAGGTGCTGACAGGCCAACCTGAGCATTTTCACTCACTAGTAGTTTTATTTCTCAGTGTAATAAATACAAATTGTCTTTCTGAATCCAAGTCACTTGTGGAGAGTGTGCCCAGCATTAAAATATTCACCAGGACCCATCTGGGCACCTATTTCTGAACCAGGCAGTGCAGCATAGTGGTTAAGAGATTTTGAGTCAGACATGAATTAAATCCGGCTGCATGATCTTGGCTGAGCAAATAACCAAAACTCACTAGGCTTCAGCTTTCCTCACTTTAAAATCAGGATAAAAATAGGAGCTACCTCATAGAGTTACCAAGATTAAGTGACATAATGTGTGTAAACTCCTCCAGTGGGCCAGGATTTTCACACACATTTACCCTAGAGGCTAATAGTCATTTTTAAAGACCCAGTCAAAACCAATAAAAATAAACAGAAAAATGCAATCCACTTTTTGGTGGAATCCCAGGTTTGGGGGCTTTGGATATGTTTTATCACTATATAGGGATTTGTATCTATTTTTTTTAATATACATTTTTATATGAAATGCTGAACACTCACAGAGAAAGCAATTCAATCCATGGCTTGAAATCCTGGCAGAGAAATCCAATCCCTGGCTCCTGATCTCCGTGTCTTTTCTACCTGCTGAACTGAGATGAACAACAGAACTTCTTGGGTGACTTCTACGCCTTTGCTCGCTCCCTTTGAAATTGCACCCTGGATGGTTCACTCCTCACAGCGGGCCCAGAGGGGAGATGATAGAACATTTTAGTTTATGTCTGAGTAGAGTAAATAGAGATGGTGTTAAAGAGATTGTCAGTAAAGGGTATGCTTCAGCAGAATACAAGACAACACCAATAAGAACTAGAAACCAAAATGTGTTAAGACAATACTTTTATTGTGCATAGGATTTAAAATTTCACCTTGGGACGACTGAAATCATTTTCCAAATTCTAGGTAGTCATGTGTTAGTGCTCGTACCTCTCCCAGAATCAGCACCAGGCAGAGAGATTTCTGGATTCACCAGTACTCAGCTTCTTCAAACCACAAGGTCACAGCCTCCCCCAATACCATCTGGCTTCCTGTCTCTCCTAGAGGTCTCCACCCCAAATCCAAACATCTTCTCCGAATCCCTAATTGTCTCTCTTCTTCCACCTTGTCCTTCAGATGTCACTTCTTGTCCAGCCCTAGAGCAGTCTCAACTCTTTGGGCTAAAGGTCACAAGTCATGCAATTCATCCCCTGCCTCCACCTGGGATTCTTTCACCTGACACAAGGGTTAAGACAGTGCTGTTCCTGCTCCCACAGCCGAGCTTTCCTTTCTACCATCTCATTCCTTTCATCTCATTCCTTGACCTCAGACAGTGATAAACAGACCAGGAAGAGGATTTTCCCCAGGGGTTGACTGTGGTCCTCGGGTTGTGGTTTATGGCCATGCCTGCCCTGTCCCCTCCCACCAAGTCCCATTTTCATCTTGGCCAGAAGGGACACCACCAGGAGGAGGGAGACATTGAGTGGTGTTGGGGTGGGGGCGGTAGCATCCGCTCATGAGGACAGTGGAGATGACCCAGTGTCCCATGGGTCATGGATCATCCAGCCAGTTCTCTGCCATCCCTCCTTCCTGAGATGCTTCTTCCCCTCCTTTCCTCATTCACCATACTAATCTTTTAAAGGTTTTTTTTACCCCCCAAAGCCCCAGTAGATAGTTGTATGTCATAACTGCACATCCTTCTAGTTGCTGTACGTGGGACGCGGCCTCAGCATGGCTGGAGAAGCGGTGTGTCCGTGCGCACCCGGGATCCGAACCCAGGCCGCCAGTAGCGGAGCGCGCGCACTTAACCGCTAAGCCACGGGGTGGCCCCCATACTAATCTTTTAGACTTGTCCTTTCCAGAAAGCCAACCTGACACACCCCCTGCCCTCCAAGATAGGTTATGTTCCCTCCTCTGAGCTTCTCTAACCCCCAGGGCAGACCCCTATCACAGCACCCATCACACGGTGCTGTAATTTCCTCTTTATGTCTCTGTCTCTTCCCATAAGCTCCTTCAGATATGGGACAAGTTTTTTTCTTTTTATTTTCATATCACCTGTGGCTACCATACTGCTTGGTTTATAATTAGCACACAAAAAATGTTTCTTGAGGCTATGAGTAAAAGAACCCTAATATTTTTGGAAGAAAACAAGATGAAGAGAGGTGAGATGCCTTACTTAAAATCACACAATTGGTTGGTTACAAGGCTGGGTCTAGAATCCAGGTCTTCTGGATCCAAATCCAGTGTTCTTTCCTCTACACAGCCTAGTGGGGATGGTGGTAAGGAGGGTCTGAGTCCCCGGATACCCTGACCATCCACTGGGCATTGAGGAAAGGGCTTAGTCAGCAGATTGAAGGTCATCCCATCTTGTCCCTTGCCAAAGTTCTGACTCCATTATATCACCTAAAGCAGTAATTTCTGTTCCAAGTCTTCCAGGTGACCCAGCCAGGGGTCAAGTCCATACGGTGCTCTCTTTGAGCCCTGTATTTAGAGGAGGGTAACTGCACCCTCTCAGGAGCTCAGGGAGAAACTAGACCCTCGGCCCCAGAGCCCAAAGAAGGGAAAGATCTTCTGGGTGAAGGAGGCAGTGAAAGTATAAATGGGCTTGTGGGTGACATCGTTGACAAACATCACCCAGCCCACCTCATAGTCGATAGACACCCGCACCTTCTGGGGCTGATCGTCCAAGGCCAGCCGTGTGGGGAAGGATCCCAGGGCTGAGACAAAGCCCCACGCCAGTCTCAGGGCCCACACCCCCTCCTCTGGCCGCAGCCGAAGCTCTCCCTTCCGCTGTATGTCCTCACTGACGACGCCCACGGTGCAGCTGCCTCCATGGACCAAATCTACACTCACCACCCACGTGTGTCTCCCCCCTGTAAAGCCATTGTGGGCCAGGACACAGGTGGCACGGTCAAAACGCTGGGGGTTGTCTGGCGAGTTCTGCCATTTGTAGGAAAACCGAGCCTGCTTGTGGTCCTCAGATAAGAGGAGCTTGGGGTGGGAAGTCTGGGGGTCTAGAGAGATGTGAGCTGTGGGGAAAACCAAAAGGAACATAGATGTCAGCAGATGTGTTACACCTTCAAGAAAGGCCTAAACCCCCCCTTGGCATCCACCTGTTAGTGTTATTATTATCAACAATGTGTATAGTGCCTACATGGACCAGCAGCATGGTTATCACCTGGGAATGTGTTAGAACTAGACCCTCAGGCTTCACCCCAGACCACCTGAGATGGAATCTGCATCTTACCAAGATCTGCAGGTGATTTGTGCGCATGTTAAAGCCCGAGAAACATGCCTCCAAGGATGCGAGGATGCGTCGGCATGTGAGGATGCGTCAGCTGGATATCCACGCTCTCATCTGGCTCTGTGCGATCCTCTGGAAAGCGGTTCTGCTCCCTGCAAACTAGTTGACTCCCAAGCTGTGCGTGCCTGCTCTGATCTCCTCCTGCTGCTGACACATCACCTCCTCTCCCTCCTGTATCTCCTATCTCGGAGAGTGGAGACATTCTCCCCTCAGTCCAAACTTCATGATTCCTCCCTGGGCACTTATGACTCATTCACAGTCTTTCTTTGCTCCTGGCACGCTGTCTGGCTCACCTGCAGGCTATTCATTCTGCCTCAGTAATTCTAAAATCGTCAGAGTCTGAGAACCACTTTTTAACATCAAAAACTTCTACAGACCCCTGCATAGTTACTTTTAGTATCCATAAATTGAGACAAATTCATAAATCCAGATATGTCCATGGGTTAGAGAGTCCCTTCCAACAAGTCTATGACTAACCAAGTTCTTTGGCTGATAGATTGGGAACAACAGCCTTGAGTGGGGTCCATTCTGTTCATTCCTTTCCTAGTCAGAGGCTGCCCTCCTTCTAACTTTCACCTGTGAAACGGCACCTGAGAGGGAATAGAGGTTCCCAACGGTTCTAAGAATGTGATTCTAAACCCAGTTCAAAGTTCCCCTCCTCCAGGAAGGCTCTCCTGATAGACCTTGATTTAATCTTTCTATCCCCTCATTATGTGCAAATCAGAATATGAGTTTCATGCTGGGTATGTGGTATGTGTGTGCACCTGTCCTTTCTTCACGGTTCTCCCACAAGCCTTACAAGGGCAGTGATGTGTGTGTATGTGTATGTGTGACTATATATTTGCACAACCCTGCAAAACTGTCTGTCCTTCTCAATTTTAGATTCCTCATTCCCTCCCACCCTGACATAGGTTGCTTACCTGGCTCATAGTCCAACTCAAAGCAGAGTTTTTCTGTAAAGACGAAATCAAAAAGGATGAGATTTCTTTAGTGTTATGAAACTGTAGAACAATTAATGATGAGGAAACTGAGGCCCAGAGAAGGGAAGGGACAAAGAGAAGAATGGAAGCCAGAACCCTCTTGATCAGTGGTTCTAAACTTGAGCTTGCACCAGAGTCCTCTGGAGCACTTGCTAAAACACTCGTGCTTCTGATTCAGGTGGCCTGGGCTGGGACTGAGAATCTGCATTTCTAACAAGTTCCCAAGAGATGCTGCTGCTGGTCGGGAGCCCCACTTTAAGACCCACTGCCCTAGCTCTGAGCAGGCAGGGACCACATCTACCTTGGTCACCTCTGTATCCTCAGTGCCTCACATAGAGCCCAGGACATAGTAAATGCTCAAGAAACATCCACTTAACGAACAGATAAGCGGGTTAATTTATTTCTCATTCTGCTTGGAAATAATTTTTTGGATAGTCAAAGGTTGGCCTTTGATTAGAGTAAAATTTCCTTCACTGCCAGGCCACTGGGAGGACTTGCAGGAAGTGGACTTGTGGGGAAAGCTCTTCTAGGGTGACATTTTTGTGGGTGGGTCATTTAGAAGTAGGTGGCATCGTTCATGATGTCATGTGTGTGGTGGGGTGTCGGCAGAGAGCTACATTCATGACTCTCCTTTCAAAACCTCCACACCCTCTCCCGCCACCACTCCTTGCTCCGGAAAAGGAGGGCATAGTCCACACAGAGGCAGTCCAATTCTGAGAGACAGACTAACAGGGGGGAAGCGAGAGAAAAGAGGAGGGAGAGGAGTCAGTGACCAACAGGGCAAAGAGAACTACTTTTGCTGGTTATTAATTAACAGTGTTCATCATCAAAAACTTATCATGTATTACAAATGCCTCTGTGGATTTTTTTTTAAATTATTGACAATGACAAATTTTGTTAATCATTATCTTTTATATTGCTTAATGCCAACTGATCAGATTTATTTATTTACTTATTTTTCAAATCAGCTCAATTTTTTTCCAGAAATCTTCACCTTTACTATCTTTCTTCATTGTCACATCATCCTGATAAGTAGATTTTATAAAGATCTGCAAATAAGGAAACCAAGGCACAGGAAGGGTACAAGCCTTGCCAAAAGTCACACGAGCATCGGGCAGCCTAGCATGGAGGCCGTTCCTAAACCCACGCTTCAAGACCACCTGTGCCCTGTGGGGTCCTCTTACCCAGAAACACCTTCATCTCCCTCTGCAGCGGAAGAGCCTGCTGGGGGAAGTCCCGAATCCTCTGGCCCAGCTCAGGGGACACAGCCTCTGGTTTCCGGCACTTTCTGGTTTCACACCTAGGGACACACAAATGGTCGGGTCTGGGAATTATCCTCCTCAGCAATGCCTCCAGACCCAGCCAGCTGCCTTGTTCTCACTGGGCAAGGAGATGCCAGTTCCCACAGGCAGACAGACTTGCTCTAGGATGGACCTCCCTGCCCACTCCCGGGCAACGCTACGCAGAGGTGTGTCTACAGCTGTACAAGGGAATGCATTCAAGTATGTGAAAGCTTATGTGTGAATTTTTATCTTTAATAAAATGAGAATGTTGTATATTTGCATGGCAACAACTAGGCATGTGGTGCATGTATGTGGGAAAAGAGAAGTGAAAAAGCGTATTCCTTACCTTATTAGAGTGCTTCTGATATCCTAGAAGAAAGAGAGAGAGAGCAGCGATTCAGTTTCCACCTTCCCCATCCCACTTTTCTTATAACTAGAAAAGACAAAATACCATATTCCTAGCTCTGGATAGAAGAAGGACACCAGATCCTACAGTCACAGAGTTTTAGGGTTTACAAGGCTTCAGGGATCGTGGAGCCCAACACCTTTATTTTATAGACTCAGATGTGAAGTGACCTGCTCCTGCTAGCTGGAGGCAAAGGCTAGTCCCATCCCATGGTCTCCTATTTCTCAGCCCTGACTGTGTTCCCCTGAATCACGCTGCCTTCCTGATGCCTTGTTGGGACCCCAATATCTCTCCTCCAGTGTGAGGAAGTGAAATAGACCAGGAAGAGCTTCCTGACTGGTGGATGATGACACAGAGAATAGCTCACCTTGGAAATAGCACCTGACATTTGTTTGCATAGTACATGAGGCTTTTCAAAGTGCTACTTTCACTTCCGTCTTACTGTTGGATCCTCACAAAATCCCTGTGAGGTAGATAAGGAAAGTATTCCCTATTTGATGGATGGTGGCACAGAGAGACCAAGACCAGGGAGCAAAGTGGCCAGTGGACTCTTGAGGAAGCGAGGACAAGAATTTAGAACTTCTGTCCTGTGACTCAGCTTCCACTTGGGATACAGAGATGTGTGAGTGAAGGAGGCATGGGTTAGACTAGGTAGAGACGCAGTAAAATAGAGGCGAGCACAGGTGGGCAGGAGCTCAGGTCTCACCGTCAGGAGCTCCCTTGCCGGCCTCTCTTTCTTTTCCTCCAGTTCTGTGATCAGGTTGCTAAACCGGCAGATCTCCCCGGTGATCAGGATGTCAAACTCATCCCGTTGCTTCAAGATGTCCTCATCCAGCGTCTCCAGCTGGGCCAAGAGAATGTTCTGCTGTTCCTCCAGGAACTGGCTCAGATGTGCAAACTCGGAAATCACTTTTTGTCTCTTGGTGGCCACCTGAGTCTGAGGGGGCGGGAGGAAGTTATTCCTCCTCCTCCTTCTCCTCTTCCTCCTCTTCCTTTTTCCTTAGTTCATTCCCATCTCCCTCCTGGCCCAGATCTTCCAAGGTCTGGTGGTAAAATCAGAGCCCCCCGCCCAACCCCCCTGGGTCCCCAGACAGACTTAGAAACGCAGCACGGTTTCCTTTCCACCTGTCATGCCATTTCTGGGAGCTAGACCGCCCAGCCTTGCCTCGGCACCTTCTGCTGGAGTTTCTAAAAGGATGGGGCTCAGAGGAGGTGTAGGAGAGGTGGTGGTGACACCCTAGCTCCTGACTTTTATGAAATGCACACTATGTGCATGGCACTAAGCTACATGGCAGGCACCGTCTCATTCAATCCTTATAGCAATTCAGTGAGGTAGTGACGATTTTTAATCTCCACTTTACAGATAAATAAACTGAGGATAGAGAGTTGCTTGAGGTCTTAGAGCTAGTTGAGTGTCAGTCAGGATTTAAACTCAGAATGAATTCAAAGTCCTATGTGCTATGTTGCCTCTGTTTCAGGGAAGCCCTGGACCTGAAGAAGAGGGTGCGCAGGGAAGGGATGATGACCTACCAGGAGGACTTGTATCCTTTCATTTTCCCTTGACTGGATTCGTTGAATCTCCTCTCTCTCTTTTCTTAGACTCTCAAGACACTTCTGTATCTGTTTCTGGAGAGAAGGAGAGTAAAAGGAGCATAAAGTGGAGAAGGAGCATAAAATATTTAAGATGGAAACAATGATTTGTTAGGGGGTGGCATCTCATCCAACCCTCTGCCTCCAGAAGTGGAATTACCCAAGGGAAGGAGTCACTCCCTGGGCCTTAATCACCCTTGACAGCTTATTCTCTTTGGGTCTTGTTCCTTTGCTTTGTCCTCCAAGAATTCTGATCAGTGCTTTCCCCCTTTATCCTGTGCCATCACAGGCTGTGACTCAATGTTTCCACCTGAGCCTTCCTTTCTTCAGTTAAACATTCTAATTTCTTTTGCCTTTGGTAAGTGATATCTGGGATCTGTCCTGAGCTTGAGAGGCCCTTGTTTGAAATTATTCCAACTTTCTCACATGTCCCAAAGGGAACACATCCAAACAACTTTCCCTTGTGAATTGAATCAATTTTCTGTGTATGATTCTGGAAGGAAGAAGAAACTTGGAAAATGCAAAAATAATCAATGAATTGTTTTAAAAGTTGCTTGCTCTAGAATAGAGTTAGGCACAGGTATACTCACATAAATGTCCATTTAGGTACATTCCAAAATACATTTAGAACTCTCACCATCAAATGCTTGTTAACTAATTGACACATACACATAGACACCCACTTGTACTAAAACACAACACATAAACAACTAAAACCAGCACACACTCATTTAATGACAGACAAAATTACACACCATATAAATCTACCCAAACTGCATATATGTAAATGCTAATTTATTCACAAACACGAGCATTCCAACGGTTACATTTACACACTCAAATAGTCAGACCTCCCCCAAAGTTCCACCAAAGGTTCCAGTGTGTACCAGCACACACTGGCAAACATACAAACATTAATACATATACACACCACTTGTGCAATCATTCTCTCAAATACAAACTCAGACCTCCTCAGATATACCTGACTGATCCATTGCACAGACACATACACTCATGTTTTGGTCACTCATTCATTCAACAAGTATTTATTGAGTGCCTATTATGTGTTGGTCATATGTAAACAACATAACACAATGCTTAAAACACAAACACATAATCTTCCATGCTTGGGTCTATTGCCTGGGTGATGATAGAAGTAGGGAGACAGAATTTGGCTTCAGAGTGGGCCAAATGATCCACAACTCTACTCTGATTCTTTCAGTCTGGTTCATTCCCAGACCCACCCTGGAACCCCCCTTTCCTACCCGGTAGGGATCTGCTGCATCCTCCAGGAAGCGCACGGTGTGGCCTCGGTGCTCCCACGCCTCCCGGCACACCACGCACAGCTGCATCTCATCATCCTCGCAGAAGAAGTAGAATTTCTCCCCGTGCTCCTGGCAGATGTCCTCCTCTTCTGAGCCTGGCATGGACACCAGCTTGAGGCGCTCGATGTTCTCCACCACGCTGGCCAGCTGCCAGTTGGGTCGGAAGCTCCCTGGGCGGAAAGGCTCCTTGCAGAGTGGGCAGGTGGGGGGCTCGTCAGCCTCTGGGGCAGGGATCTCAAGGTAGCGGATGAGGCAGCTGCGGCAGAAGTTGTGGCCACAGTCGATGGTGACCGGTTCCCTCAGGGTGCCTTGGCAGATGGGGCAGTTGACCTCGTCTGCCAGGCTACTCACAGAGGCGGCCGAGGCCATGGTGCTGCTGTGCCTGTAGCCTCCTCAAGGTCACCCAGTCTGCTTGGCTGAGGGGGAAGGGCTGGAAGAACGGTGAAGACACATCACACACTCACACACCTACATGTACACACAGCTGGACACAGGCACATCCTAAATACACACCAACAACCTCATAGTCATACTCACACACACACACTCACACATGCGCAAGGGCATGGCTCCCACTTGCTTCTCTGGTGGCCGTAGTTCTGCTGTTCTCCTCCCAAAGGAACAGACACACACCCTCCAACAGCAGAGATGGAGAAATAGCAGAGGAGGGGAAGGAGGCAAGGAAGAAAGCAGGGCCATAGCATCTCAGAGATGACCTCAGCTACTCTCCCATTGGTGCCCATGGCCTGGGGCTCACCGTTCCTTCCAGTCCCTCCAGAGACACTCACAGCAGAAGGAAAGTGGTGGTATCTTAACCGTCCACAGTTGAACGAGGTCGTTCTTCCTTCAGGGGCAGGAGGGAGACTGGGTCACAGAGCAGTGATGCCACTCAGCCTCCCTGCACTATCACCAGCTGTCTCCAGGGAGATTGGAGATATCAGCCAGCCCAGGGAAGTGTGGGGAGCCAGATAAGGTGGTTGTGCCCAGGGAGCATGGCACAGTCAACTTCACTTCATGCCCCAACCGGCCTGCCCAAGGCTTCCAAAGAGGCTGGAATATACTCTGTGTGGGGGAGGAGAAAGAAAAATAGCAACAGCTCGCTCTTGTTTATGATGACTGTATTCCTCACACTGATGTAAGAAACTTAAACATGTGATCTTATTTATTCCTCCTGTCTGCTGCATAACGTCGGTGCTATTAGGATATTAGCTAGGCTCAGCCAGGTTATTTAACTTGCCCAGGGTACACAGGTAGGAAGGGGGGTGGTCATAATCTGCACTCAGATCTGTTTGTCTTAGAGCTGTGCTGTCCAATAGAAATATAATGCAAGCCACATATGCAATTTAAAATTTCCTAGTAGCCGTATTTTAAAAAGTAAAAAGTGAAAATAATTTTAATATTTTATTTAGGCCCAAAGATGATTATTTCAGTGTGTAATCAGTATAAAAAATTAGTAATGAGGCACTTTACATTCTTTTTCATTGGTGCTAAGTCTTTGAAATCTGGGGTGTATTTTACACAGGCAGCACGTCTCAGTGGGGACCGGCCACGTCTCAATGCTCAGCAGCCACATGTGGCTGGAGGCCCCTGTGTTAGACAGCGTAGCCCCAAGGGATGCACTCTTGGGTCGGGGGCAGATAGTGTGGCAAGGGAAGGTGATAGAAAAATTAGTTGAAGTGAAAGGGGAGGGAAAAAGGGTGCAGGGCTGATCCTTCGGTGAGAGAATGGGAGTTTCTCCTTGGTCTTATCCACAGATGCAGGTGAGTGGATGAAGAACCGTGGCTATTTGATCATTGTCTTGGCTTGGAGTTCGGGAAGAGCATAGGCTGGAAGCCGGCAACCTTGGATTGACCCAAACCTGCGGCTTTCTAGCTCTGTGACCTGGGGAAGTCACTTTACCTTTCAGTTTATGATTCTTTCTCTGTAAAATGAAGGTAGTCATACCTGCCTCAAAGGCTGTTATCAGACTGGATGTCATAATATGAGAATACTCAGCCTTAGATAAATGTGGTTGAATCTGTTTATCTTCTTGGCTGAGTTTTCTAAATTTTGTTTATCCACATGAATCATTTGCATCATGGTACGTTATCCAAACTCCAGTGGGGACACTGGCGCTGGGGGGTAGTGGGAGTTCAGAGTTTAGGAGACACCAGCCTGGGCAGATGAGGTGAGGCAAGGAAAGGAGGGCAGAGGAGGGAGTCTCACGAGCAATCATCCCACAGTGGACCTGCAGTGCAGGTCCCCCGGAACAGTCTGCCGGAAGTCAGTCACCGCCCACTCCAGCCTGGACTTTGTCGCTGTGGTCACACCTCAAAGCCAGAAGTTTATGGCTCCCACCTGCTCAATTGAACAGGAAGCCGCATATCCTACCCAGCTCTCCCCACCCCACTGTGGTCAAGGGAGGGATTCCAGGAAGCCCTGTCTCCCTGTGACCTCACGGCATGCTCTGCTCCCCACCCCAGGGACTGGAAGGAGTCAGAAGGAGTCAGGAGGAGTGGAGAACAGGCTGACAGGGCCACTACTGGGAAATGCTGGGTAATTTGAGAAGCCCTGGAGTTTGCACCCGCTCTACTGATGGGTGGTGGCCAGGACTCCGGGGAAGCACAAGAGGTGGAGCCAGGTGGCTTCCCTGTCCGGACATTCCTGCTTCCTCTCTCTCGATCTCCTATTGCTTTCCTTCTGTGACTCATGTAAAAGTGACTCAATTTCAGGAAAAGAGAATTCATGTGGCCTGAGACAGAGGCCTGAGTGGACCAGCTGGGGAAGGCACCGTGATGCCCTCAACCCCCTCCCATGAGGGGGCCTCCTGTCCTGCCTGCAAGGGATCCCTGGAGCATGCAGTGACGGCCACCTGTGGACACACCTTCTGCCGGCTGTGCCTCGCCCTGCCCTCCCAGATGGGAGCCCAGCCTTCCGGCAGGGTTCTGCTCTGTCCCCTCTGCAAGGAGAAGGAGCGGGCAGAGACTGTCATGGTCCCAGTGCCCCTGGGCCCTCTGGGGGAGACTTACTGCGAGGAGCATGGCGAGAAGATTTACTTCTTCTGTGAGAACGATGCTGAGCTACTCTGTGTGTTCTGCCGTGAGGGTCCCTCTCACCAGGCCCACAGTGTGGGCTTCCTCGACGAGGCCATTCAGCCCTACCGGGTAAGAAGTGTGGCTCTAGCTCGGACACGTTTAGGGTGGGACAGTGTCCTGTCGTGGTGAAGGAAGGGGGTGGGGATCTGGGTGAAGGGCCACAGCTTCCATATCAGGGTACCCCAAGGCTGCAGCGACACTGGGGACAGCCCCAGACTGAGGGGGACACAGTTCCACTAAGCCGTGTGGTCATTCACAGTCTTAGGGGGAACTTCAGCTCCAGCCCTCAAGGGGCCTCACAGTGATGGAGCACAAAGAACTGTGGCCATGGCTTCACTGTCTATGGAAGGAAAGAGAGCCCCAGTGCAGAGTAGGATCTGCTGCAGGTTATGGGCTGGGTGAACTTGGTCTCCCAGTATCCAGACTGGATATGGGATTTACCAAAGCCCTGACCTCTGGGGCTCAGAGGGAAGAGAGGGACGGGAAGGGCAACCTGCAAGTGCTGTTCTTCTTTTTGAAAAAGGGAGGTGCAGCTTAGCCTATCTGGTCTAGGAGACATTATCCATTCCTGTCTGCCTCTCAGATCTCTCTCTTGTCATCCAGTCACCAAGTCTGGAAGTGGTTTCCTCAGAAGCATCTCACAAATTTTTAACTCTGCATTGTCCCCACAGCCACTGCCAAATCCAGGCTCTCACCATCTGTCACTCAGACTTTGCATGATCTCTAACGTTTTCCCTGTGTCCACTCTCACCTTTCCAACCACCAGCCATTCTGCTACAAGGTAGATCTTCCTAAAACACAAAGCCAATCATGATGCTCTCCTGCTTACAATCCTTCCAAGGATCTCTAGCACCCAAAGAAAGTTCAATATCTTTAACAAGGCATTTACGGTAGTTTGCAGTTGGGATCTTGCCTTCCCGTCCAATCTCATCTCTCAGCTGTCCTCCCCAAGGCACCATGTGTCCAGCCAGACTGACCCCTATGGACTGGCTGTCTTCTGAATTGTTTTACTCTTTCCTGCTTCTAATACTTTCACATGTGGTTCCTTCCTCCTAGAATGCCACTCTCTCTCTTTTCAAATATTTTAATAATTTTTAAGTTCAGGGGCATTAAGTACCCTCCTCCCCCTCTCTTACTCAGCTGGAAATTTATCTTTCAAGGCCCACTCTAAATATTTTCTGATTTATAAAACCTTCCCTTGACCCTACAGGCAGAATTGTCTGCTCTTCTGTGCTCCCATCTCACTGTGTGCCCACTTCGATTATTGCATTTGTCTATTTGTATTTTAATCACTCGTGACAAACCTCTTCCCTAGATGGTGATCTCTTTAGGGACAAGAACTGCGCCTTTTTCACCTTTGAATTCCTCAGCACTCAACGGTGTGCCTGGAACATGGTAGACAATTGATATCTGTGAGTTGAATTATGAATGAAGTCACCTCTCTCTGCCCTACAGGCAGAATTGTCTGCTCTTCTGTGCTCCCATCTCACTGTGTGCCCACTTCGATTATTGCATTTGTCTATTTGTATTTTAATCACTCGTGACAAACCTCTTCCCTAGATGGTGATCTCTTTAGGGACAAGAACTGCGCCTTTTTCACCTTTGAATTCCTCAGCACTCAACGGTGTGCCTGGAACATGGTAGACAATTGATATCTGTGAGTTGAATTATGAATGAAGTCACCTCTCTCTGCCCGTTCTCCTCCCCATAGGATCGTCTCAGGAGTCGGCTGGAAGCTCTGAGCGTGGAGAGAGATGAGATTGAGGACAAAAAGAGTCGGGAAGACCAGAAGCTCCATGTGCTCCTGGTAAAGACCATGTCATTGGCCACCATCTCCTTTGGGGGTTTTCTTAATAGACTCTGGGAAAGCTTCTTGTGTGGTATCTGTTGCCTGGCTGGAAAGAACCGGCAAGCTGTTATCATTCACTTCCCTGCCTCTGCACAAGGGCATTTGGAGTCAAGGTTGTGAAATGCCAGACCATCAGAGCTGAAAGTTGTTCTGACGTCTTCTAATCTCAGATCCATCTTGTCAGCCATTTTGTTTACAGAGCAGAAAATTGAGGTCTAGGAAAGTGATGCTCCCAAGGCCACATGGCAAAGCCCAGGTTCACGATGAAATGGCTAGAACCTGGGTCTCTTGACCCTTAGTCCATTGCTCTTCCCATTCCAGCCTGTCTGCCTGAAATCGTGGCCTACAGATGGGAAGCTTGGGTCCAGAAGGCATATATTAGTGTCTGCATTCCAGTGCTGACCCCAAGGCTGACCCCGAGGACAGTAGGCTAATGGTGTGGCTATATCTGGCTCCTTCCCATCTCTTTTTTCATGCTACAAAGTTATCCAGGAAGAAATCCACAGTGTGGGAATTTCTGGTACCTTGACCAAAGAGGCAGAGTTTTGGGATGAGAAGGTCTCTCCAGTATCCCTCAACTCCCATCCAAGTATGCCCTGTAGGTGGCGACTTCAGTGGCTAAGACCAACGCTACACACTCTTCCAATAAGTTGTGCTGACTCTAATCACAGCTTACTTTCTCTTCAATTGCTAAGACATGACTATAATCACCTCCACCTGACTCTAGGGAAGGCTTGGTAGGGTTAGGATGATATCATAGATGTGAAGGATGTTTAAAAAGTTCAACATGGCTCTGAGAACCTAATGTGGCATTATTATTAGAATCTCCAGGTAAGACAAGAGCACAGCCCTCATCATTGATAAGTTTATTCTGAGACCTACCTACTTCTACCAGAGTATTATCTGGGAGAAAGAGTTTGGAACTAGTTACCTCCTATCCCTCTTAATCAATGGTAAGTATATAGATGATCCTCCTGGAAGCCAGCTCTGTGAGCTTTTCCCTAACGTTGTCTGTCTTTCTACCACTCGCAGACTCAGATTGAAAGCAAGAAACAGCAGGTGGAAGCAGCTTTTGAGAGGTTGCAGCAGGAGCTGGGGGAACAGCAATGTCTCCTGCTGGCCAGGCTGAGGGAGTTGGAGCGGCAGATCTGGAAGGAGAGGGACGAGTACATCTCAACGGTCTCTGAGGAGGTCGCCCGGCTTGGAGCCCAGGTCAAGGAGTTGGAGGAGAAGTGTCAGCAGCCAGCAAGTGAGCTTCTACAAGTGAGAGACAATCCACCACCTCGTGAGACGGGAGGGGGATTCTACAGGAAGGGGACACCCTGCTGGGGGCTGGAAGATGCTGGAGAGAGGCAGGAAAGGGAAGCAGAGGTTATTTTTAATGGGAGAGACGAAGAGTTATTGGGTTCCTTTGGCGCAGGGAGGTTATGGAGATGCAGACCCAGAAAGGCTGGGTGGCTTGCCCACGCACTGTGGTCTTGTGAAGGGCTTTGGAGTCAGACGGTCTTGGGTTTGAGTGCCGGCTCTTCAGCTGTGTGACCTTGGCAAGTCTTGTAACCTCCCTAAACATGAGGATAATAATAGCACGTCTCTCATAGGGTTGTCGCAAAGATTATAAGAAACAATCCATGCAAAATGCTTAGCATGGTCCCTGTCTCACAGGAAAAAGACAATAAATGGTGCCAGTTGTGATTATCATTATATTATCCTGTTTCACATCAGGTCCAGCTAACAACTTAAGGCCTGGTCCCTGCTCTCCACCATCCCTTAATCGTTGGAGGCAGAACACACCCCCAGGGTAAGGCTGAGACAGAGAAACCAGCTCAAATGAACTGACTATGGAGTCCCAAATTAGTAAGAAAGCGTGATGTAAAAGAACAGTCTGATGAGTAGGTAATTAAATAGATACAACTTCCTGGAGGAGGAGAGTTTTGAGCTCATATGTTAAGGAAGAAAGGATGTACAGAGTCTCTGATGGGAAGGACATGTGGAAACTAAGTGCACGTTCTTTTTCTTTTGTAGGATGTTAGAGTCAACCAGAGCAGGTAGGGTCCATGCCCCGGTCCCACCTCCTTTACACTTTGAGTACACACTTTATACTTCTCGCCTCCTTTATACTGGACATGGAGACTGAAAGGGGAGGGGTGCTCACTACCCCTCCCCCTATACATGACCACACAGGAAAGCAAAAGCGCTCTGACAGACAGACCGCCTCATTCACTCACACATAAATAGCCCAAACTTAAAAGTTTGGGTTCTAAAGGTTCATTTTTAAACTGATGGTTTGGTATGGGGGACACATTTTTTTCCTGGAAGTGAAGTTATAAATAATAATGTTTTTAGGCTGATCTGATAACATCTATTTAATCCCTGAAATTATTAGTACTTGAGTCAGTATTTAACACCATTTAACATGTAATTCTAAGGGGAAATATTTTCTTAACACTCTTTTTTTTTTTTTTAATAATTTTATTTATTTATTTATTTTTACCCCAAAGCCCCAGTAGATAGTTGTATGTCATAGCTGCACATCCTTCTAGTTGCTGTATGTGGGACGTGGCCTCAGCATGGCCAGAGAGGTGGTGCGTCGGTGCGCGCCCGGGATCTGAACCCGGGCCGCCAGCAGCGGAGCGTGCGCACTTAACCGCTAAGCCACGGGGCCGGCCCAAAGGGGAAATATTTTCTATAGAATATCAGAAGCATGGAACCTGGGAATATCAGCCTGTTGTTTCAACTATTTTTCCCACTCAACTCTCCCGTTTCATTCAGAATTTTCAAATGCTACTATAAAAGGACAGCCCCCAGGAGCTGGGATGTGTTGTAAATACATGCTCCCTACATCACCTGTCTGCTGGAAGCATCAGCAGCCTGCCCTGGGATGAGCAGAGACACAATGATTATGGAGCACTTGTCATATGCTGTGTGCCTGTGCACACGTAGGGGGCTGAACCCAGGTGTCCACGAATCAGGAGGTGTCTCTAAATATACTTTTCAGAGAGTGTTAGAGATTTAGATCTGGGGGGGTCTTGGAGGTCTTCTAGTCTGATGAAGACCTAGAGGGGGAAGGTTACACAGCGAGTGACAAGCAAGGACTAAGTTGAAACCAGAATCAAGGGATTTTTCACTGCAATATATATATTTTTTCATCTCATTTTTTCTTCCTCCCATCCCCTTTCCCCTTGTAATGAACAGCACACAAATTAGAAAGAATAATTTAAGGCTGTTTTTCAAATGGTACCATACTGTCCTCTAGAGGCTAATGTGGGTAATGATCTCTGCCCCTTTTGGCTTCCACAGGCCCAAACATTCTCTTAAAAGACCTACCTTTAATTCTTGAGGAGTGGTTACCATTAGTTCCTCTTGGGTCTAATTGAAATGCCTCTTGCTTTAGAGGCTACACATTTCCAGCAAAGGTGAAGAGTTGATACTTAATGTAATTATTCACCACAGACACCAGATTCTTTAGTCTGATTTTAGCCTCACTTTGTCTATATCACCCAAATATTATTTTTGGAATTTGGACCTAACTGGTTACCAACTTGTCTGCAGGGGTGAGATGAAGACTTTTGTGAGTCCAGAGGCCATTTCTCCTGACCTCGTCAAGGAGATCCGCGATCTCCACAGGAAAATACTCCCCCTCCCAGAGATGATGAGGACGTTCTCAGGTAAAGGGGAAGGGCAGCAGCTTTCCCATTCTCGTTAGTTGCCCTTCCGCCTGCCATCCATCTCCACCTTTGCCCTGCTTCCAAATCTGGCTCAAGATGTCTTCCCTCCCTTAAGCCTCCCCTTAGTGATCCCACTCTGCTCAGGGGGCCCATTCCCTAGAGCATCTCCTCCTGCCTCTAAGGACGGGCACTGGACTCAGAGTCTAGGAAGGTGAGAACTGCATCTCTCTCGTTAGACCACAACAGACGGCGAGCCTTCTCCCATCCCTGTCCTCATATTGTTCCCAGGACATGCTGCCTCTGGGGGTGTCTGTAAGAAATGTCACAGATCTTTCTATTTTGCTCCCCTCAGAAAACTTGGTGCATCATCTGGAAACAGATTCAGGTAAACAGCTGGGGGTTTCGGGAGCCGTTCTTTCATTCATCCATTCTTAAATTCATCCATTCAAACCAAGGCAGCAAACAGAGCCATTAAATATATGAATTCTGGAGCCTGATTGCTTGGGTTCTCTGTTCCAGCTCTTGCTAGTTATGAGACACTGCGAAAATTATTAAGCCTCTTTGTCCCACAGTTTCCCCATCTATAAAATGGAAAATATAATAGTACCTACTGCATAAGTAGCAGCTACGAGGTAAATGAATTAATAATTCATGCAAAAAGCTTAACTACTCGGCACACGGTAAGTGTTCAGTTAATATTAGTACTTGTGCGGATATTATTTATTCAAAAATATTTATCAAGCCCTTGTATCTTTGCCCAGCACTGTGCTAGGCTCTTTAGTGACTTGAAAAAATATTGTATAGTTTTTTTAAAAATAGCATTTACTTGTATATTGGTGCTTAATTTACAAACTATTTTCACAAGCATTACCACACTTTGCTTCTCAAACAATGTGCAGAAAAATCACCTAGGGGATCTTGTTAAGATCAAGTTCTGATGCAGTAAGTCTGGCATGCGGCCCAAGATTCCGCATTTCTAACATCCTCCTAGGCAAAGCAGTTGCCTCTGGTCCGTGGACCGCACTTTGAGAAGCAAAGCCTTACAGCACAGCACCACTTGCCTGTCAGCTAGAAGAACTGTCATCCTCTGTCCTAATGGAAAAGAAGGGAAATTGAGGTTCAGAGAAGCGGGCCAAGGGAAGGCTGCCCAAGGCGGGTGCTCCTTCTGCCTCCCACGCACAGAGCACGGGCTCTAGGGGCGTTTTTGGTGGCCTCCAGCGGTTGGTGTCCGCCCTCTCCACCCTCTAGGAGTTGTCACTCTGGACCCTCAGACCGCCAGCCGGAGCCTGGTCGTCTCCGAGGACAGGAAGTCAGTGAGGTACACCCGGCAGAAGCAGAACCTTCGCGACAGCCCTCTGCGCTTCGAGGGTCTCCCGGCGGTGCTGGGCTCCCGGGGCTTCTCCTTCGGGCGCCACCGCTGGCAGGTGGAGGTGCAGCTGAGTGACGGCGGCGGCTGCACGGTGGGGGTGGCCAGGGAGGAGGTGAGGAGGAAGGCAGAGCTGGGTCTGAGAGCCGAGGAGGGCATCTGGGCGGTGATCCTCTCGCACCAGCAGTGCTGGGCCAGCACCTCCCCGGGCACCGACCTGCCGCTGAGCGAGATCCCGCGCAGCGTGGGCGTCGCCCTGGACTACGAGGCGGGGCGGGTGACCCTGCTCAACGCCGAGACCCAGGCGCCCATCTTCACCTTCACCGCCTCTTTCTCCGGCAAAGTCTTCCCCTTTTTCGCGGTCTGGAAGAAAGGTTCCTGCCTGACTTTGAAAGGCTGAGGTGGAGCGTCCAGAGGGCGGTGTTAGCGGAGAAAGCAGCGCCCCGGGATCCAGCTCCGCCCCTGGGCAGCCGCGTGACCTTGGGCGATTCCTGGTGCCCCAGCGAGCTGGGAGGACGCAGGATCTGAGTCCGTTCAGCTTTGTAATTGTTTTTATTTTCTTTATCTATGTCCTTCAACTCCCTGACCTCCTGATCCTCCCCGTGACCCTCCGTCTTCTTCGCTCCTCTGAGTGGAGATCAAGAGGCAGGCTAGAGTGCGCCTAGCACACCATTTTTATTATTTTGGAAAATAATAAAATCTAAAATAAAAATTTTAAAAGCTTCAAAATAATCATCGTGGGAAAAACCAGAACTTCGTTGGGCTTGCAGTAATTTATACAGCTGACTTTTTATTTTGACATACACGTGGAGATGCTCCTGCCTTTACAGAGTATAGGGCCTCTTCATCCAGCTGTGGGTGGATCCAGGTCCCCTTCCTTTCTGACACCCTTCAGGTCATTTATTTTTCTTGTAGAGAATGTCCTAATAAAGTGTGCAACCCAGCCAGACTTCTGCATTTCTTGTGTCTAATCAGTGCTGATGGGGCTGAAGGAAAGGCTGAAGCCTGTGGTCTCGGTGACCAATACACAATCCTGTCCCTTCTTTTACTCAGGACTTGCCTGGTGGCAGTGCAGCCAGACTCCACTGTTCAATAAAATGAGGCTTGTGTTCAGGTCTAACCTCTCAAATATTTATAATTATTACATTATGATTGGACACAGAAACAGACCACCCATTAAAATAAATTTGCATAGCAAGGTATGAGTCTCTGTAAGGATGATAATTCCCATACCACCACCACCACCACCCTTTCTGATTCTAGCTCTCTCTCTTCTCAAGTTTAACACTCACATTCCCACCCTCCCGCCCCGACCCCTGAAGAAAGCTACCTTCATCCCCAATCCAGGTTCCCTCTGGGATGAGTCTATGTACAAGATTACCTTCTTTATCGTATGAGACCTGCTTCTGAACTGTGGGGTCAGATGTTTTAAAGACATTCTAAGCACTTGTATCATATGTGAATTTCATTACAAAATTGTAATACAAATCATTGTGATGTGAATAATTATTCCTAATTTAACTGGGCAAATAGAGATCCTTGATATAAAAGAAGCCAGAGGACTTGCGGTTTCTTCTGTCCTCCCATGTGACAGGCAGAACCACCCTGTGTACAACCCAGAAAAAAATCAAGTTGTTTTTACAGAAGTTGAAATATAATGATGTACACCTGAAATTTATATAACATTATAAATCAATGTTATCTCAATAAAAAAAAATAATAATAGTACCCATAAAAATAATCAAGTTGTTTGGTAGTCAGCTGAGTAGCAGCATTAGTATTGCCTAATGTTTATTATAAAAGTAGTTTATACACACAGTTAAAAAAAGATTCAAACATTTTCATAGAGTCTGGGTGAAAAGTCCCCCTCTCCACCTCTCAACACTTCCTCTTATCACATCCCATACATAATCATTGGTATCACATTTTGTGTATCCTGCCAGTTTTGCATACAAGTGTATTTAGCTTGATTGTTTTTGTTTTTACACAAATGAGATTATACCATAAGTACTCTTTGCAACCCCCTCCCAAGGAAAAACTATATGCAACATGTGCTTCTTGTAACACTTGTCAAACACTATGGAAGTCAAAGATTTTTTTAAAAAGACACATCTTCCTTTGAACCTTATAACAAACCTGTGAAATACATTGGACTTATTTTGTTTTTCTCATTCTGTGGTTGGGAAAACTGGCACACAGTTAAATGAATTTGCCTAAAACTTTCACAGCTGGTTCTGTAATCTGCTGGAAGTAGGATCTACAGGTCCTGGTCCTCAGTCCCTCAGGGCGGTGACCTTTAGATGCTCAGACTTTCTGAACAGACAAATCACAAGGGGGTTTGTTTCATTTCCTCTGCAAAGATCTGGTGTTTTAGACAGGAACGGCTTTTTTGGTTGAGTAGGAGATTGAAGAAGCAAATGAACAATTTACACTGTATTTCCAAGCCTGTAGTACTTCTTATTTTAGGATGGTCCAGGTAACTTAGGGGTGTGGATATGCACATTTGGAGGCTCTGTGCCAAAATTAAATTGCCCTGCATAGGAAAGAGGAGAGAATTTAGAAGCCTAAGGGGGAAGGTGTAAAAACAGCCAAGAACCAAGGATGAGGCCTGGGAGCTGCCTGGAGGAAAATAATCCATTTGGTGGCCCCGCTGGAGAGCCGGAGGAGACCTGTGTTGCAGTGTTGGTGAGGTAAAACCATCCTCCATCTCCTTTCCAGGATCCTCAGCGCAATCTGTGTTGGCCTCGCTGCTTTTGTAAGCACTGCTGATTTCTGGGAATGTGCGAGTGTTGAGTTCTGTCCACTACTGGCCAGGAGGCAAAAACAGACCCCACGAAAGAACAGCCAGGCCGCTGGGGCACAGGAGGAGCAGTCACACACTCCACGTGCCCCAGAGAAGCAGAGGGGTGATTGTAAGGACCCAGATGGGGTCTGTAAGGGGAATCTCTCCAAAGTCCAAGAGTGGTGGTTACAACGGGCTGGATGTGATGGGAACTGCAGTCACAGCAGATGCCTCGTCTCTGGTCCACTAGCTTTGCTCTGCGTGTAGGGCCCATTTCTCTGTGTATGGGCAGGCTGCTGGCTTTCCTCATGTCCTTTATTTTCCCCATTATTTCAGTGCTTTCCTTTTTTCAGGATCCAGTGTAGAGAGTTGACTCAATCATACTTCTTAGTACATAATCATCGCCAGCCCATACTGGGTCTTGTTTTTTATGTGTTGTTGTTTTTGTGAGGAGGACTAGCCCTGAGCTAACATCCGATGCCAATCTTCCCCGTTTTTCTTGAGGAAGATTGGCCCTGGGCTAACATCCGTGCCCATCTTCCTCTACTTTTTATACGGGACGCCGCCACAGCATGGCTTAACAAGCAGTGTGCGTCAGTGCCGCCCAGGATCTAAACCTGCGAACCCCGGGCTGCCGAAGTGGAGCTCGCGCACTTAACTGCTTGCAGCACTGCGCCGGCCCCTGGGTCTTGTTGTTTTATTTGTATTTTCTCCTTTATCTCTAATTCTCATTCTCCTCACCCTCATAGGCAGCTACTCTCTTGTGTTTTTCATGTGTCCTTAGATACAGAGGGATCTTTGAATATGTATATAGTATAGTACTAGTTCTATTTCTTACTTTTGTTAACCCAGTGCCATGGTTTTAGGATCTAGTCATGTTGCTGTGTATCTATCTAGTTTACGGCTTCTAATTGCTGGATGGTATTCTATAGTACACATCCCCTGCGTTTTACTATACTTTCTTTTGGCAAAGAACATCTAGGTTACTTCCATCTGCCTGTGACAACAAGTGACGCTGTGATGAACAGCCTCATACTTTTCCCTTATGAGCCTGTGTAAGAGCCTAAGATACGTCCCAGGAGTGGATGACTGGAATTTGCACACTTTATTTGCACACCAAATTGCTCCCCAGAATGGCTATGTCCACTTACCCTTCCACCAGAGAGGAATGGAGATTCCTGCTCCCCCGCCTCCCACCCCAACAATTGATACCATCGAACTTGCTAATTTCTGGAAATCTGATGACTATAAAGTAATATCTCATTATGGTTTTCTTTTTGTCTTCTTCTGACTACCTGTGAGGTTGCACATCTCTTCTGTAATTTTCTATGTCTTTTACTCATTTTTCAGTTTCCCGTCTTTCTTTCATTGACTTCTAGGAATTTCTTGCATATTCTAGAGGTTACTCTCTTGCTCATTTTCGACTTGAAATTATCACTCATTATTAACTTTGATAATGGTGGTATTTATTAGATAGAAATCTTGAATTTTGGTAATAAATTTTTCACTGTGGTTTACGTTTTTACAGTCTTTTTCACCACCACACGACTATATATATATGATTTTATATCATATATAAATATATGATATGTGTTTATATATATATTTCCACTAGTTTTATAAATTTACTGTTCACATTAATATCTTTAGTTTATCTGGTGTGAAGAAGACAACCAACTTAATTTTTCTCCTTATACTGAGCCAGTTTTTTTAACTCCATCTACTTAAATAATCCATCTGATTTCCACTCTTGGTGGTGTCACTTCTAATATACCAATTTCCCATGAATACAGGAATTATTTCTGAGCTTTCTATTCTGTTGTATTAATCGGTTTCTCTTTCTCTGAACCAGTGTATCCTGCTTTTCGTTGCTAGGAGCTTGTCATACACCTTCATGTCTCATAGGGCTATTCTCCCCTCTTTGCTTCTTTTTCAAATTGATCTTAGCTATTTGTAGACCTTTATGCTTCCATATAAATTTAGAAGCAATTTTTCAGGTTCTTTTAAAAAAATCCTGATGCCCTTTTAACTGAAATTGTTGATTGAAATTTTATTGAATTTGGGGAGGATGGGGGAAATTAATTTGGAAAAAATTGACATTGTCATCCTATCCAGAAACATGTTATCTCTCTCTGGCTGTTTAGATCTAATTTTATGTCCTTTAATGGGATTTTGAAATTTTCCTCCATAGAACAATTTGGCAATTCTAGTAACATGCCTATCCTTTGATCCAGTAATTCTCCCTCTAGAGAAATGTTCACACATGTGTACAATGAAACACATTCAAAATAGTTCAGTACAGCATAGTTTAAATTACAGAATGGATAATAAATTGTAGTATAGTCATATAATACACTACTATACAACAGTTAAAATGAATGAATCACAGCTGCATGTATCTGTATGAATAAAGTTCAAAAACACACTTTTGAACAACAAAAAAGCAAGTTAAAAATATATATAGTTCTATTTTTAAAAGTTTAGAAACATGCAGAACAATCTCTATATTGTTTGTGGAAACTTATATATGTGGTAATTCCATAAAAAGAAGCAAGGGACTGTTAAACACTGAATTCAGCCATAGTGGTTACTTCTGGTTAGGAAGGCAGAAGGGAAATGTGTTTGGAAAAGTGGTACAGAGGGCTTCAACTGTACTTGTAATGTTGT